CTGCTGTCCTGTTTTTGCTCACGGACGCGTGCTGTGGCATACGTGGTACATTTCCAACACTCTTCATTTGCTTTCTTGCTCACTTCCATTTTCCTACTTGACCCCCCAACATGTCATGAGAGTAACTTGGTGCCACTAAGTTCTTCACCTTAAGCTTTGTGCAGGTAATTGCTTCCCTCCCCTAGGTTCTTGCTTCTACTGCACTTGAAATTATTTCCAATCTCTACTCCTGGGCACTTCTAACCCCCTGAAGTTTGTCACCGATGCCTTCATGAACCTTTAGAGCTCATTCATTTGCTCACTTGTTCAGTGCTTAATGACCACCTATTTTGTGTAAGCCCTTGAGCTATGGAAATACAGAAATGACTGACATATTGCTTGTTACTATTCTGCAACCTCGGGGATCTTATAGTCTCTGGCGGGAACAGACGTAAACAGACAAGAGCAAGTCACTATGTTAGGTACTGTGAATTGAAATGTGGACAAAATATTATAGAAATAAAAAGGAGGGACTCATTCAGCCTTGAAAGGTTGATAACTATGGCACAGACAATGATATTTGAGCCGCATCTGAGCACCTGAGAGGGGCTGCAAGGGCTTTCTCACTGAGTGAACAGCTTGTGCAAAAGTGCGGGGTCTGAGGAGCTCAGGGGGGGTTGGGAGACCCAGCAGTGGCTCACACTGGCTGGAGTGCAGCACACAGGGGCAATGGGAGAAAATCAGGGGCAAGGACTGGAGGAGTCTGGCAAGTTACTTAGCAGCAAAATGCGGGTCAACTGAGCAGCCAAAGATGACTGTAATTGTTTGTAAAACATTAAATAAATAAAAGCCCACCAGGTCCACCGTGATAGGAGGGAGACAAGAAGAAAAACATGTCCTTATGTGAGGCCATTAGAGATGATGATTACACCAGCTTCTGATGCTGGCAACTAGTACTTAAAGGGAAGGAGTTAGGCATTTATACCACCTTTTCAGAAGAAAGTATAGTTCATGGTGAGAGTGAGGTCTTTCTTATAGGAAATACCAGCTAAAATATATAAAAGAAATGCCAAGATTAGAAAATCACTATTTTGTAACCCACAGTAAAATAACTGATTTGGGCAAATATCATTAATGGCTGCTGAAATCTTGGGATGAAAAGTTTAAGGCAACAGGATATTCCTAAAGTGACAAAGTGCCATCAGAAATGACCTGCTAACTGGAAGGGAAAAGCATGTCCTTACAAAGGAGAGATCTTGTGTTCACCATCTTAACTTTAAGAGAGTAAACGAACAGCATGGAGAGGACAACCAATCACTGTGCCTCCTGAAGAGATGCGTGGCTGAAGTACAGTCTCAGTTGCACAGTATTCTTGTCAAAGGTGTTTCACCCGAATCCTCAGTTTACAAGAAATACCGGAGACAGAGGAAAAGTTAAATCACACCACGCAGAAGCAATCAGACAAATCCAGGATATGGGAAATCCTATAAAATATGTGGCCGAACTTCTTCAGAAAGTCAATGGGGGGGGGGGG